GAATAAAACTGAACCATCGACTCAATTCATTCGGATTATTACCAACCACAACATTATGATAATAAGCATATCTCTCGACTAGAAGCTCCTTTCCCATTACCATATCCCCGGTGTGTGAGGTATTGTTATACTTCTGGAGATTCTCTAGTGTTGGTTACTTCCTGTCCCCGTGGGGTTTCCTTCTGTCAAGCCTTTTTTTTTTTCGTGTGTCGTTTCTCCATGTGGCGTCATTTCACCACAGGATTCACTGTCTTACATTCTCATATCATTGCATATCATTTGCATCCGGTGGCCTCTTAGGGCCGAAATTCATGCAATGTTTGTATTTAAGTCCCTCCTATCTCGTCGAGACGGAGATTTCGATCTCCATATCTCCGAATAGGAGTAACTTAAATAGGGGCATCTGTTGCACCCTAATTTTTGACCATAAGATGCCACCTCTTTTTTGTTTTTATTATTATTGGACTTTATTCAATATTTATGCGACTAACCAATTTGTGCATACGTGTTAATATCGAGTGGAGATGGCGTTCCTCATAGTCGATCATTGTACATATCTAACCGTTTAACCCGCTTGTTCGTTTTGTTTTATGAAGAAGGTTGTTGCGGAGATTCAAAGGAATTATCAACTTTCAGGCTTTTAGTTTCCTTTCAAGATACGAGGATCTCATTCTCGAATGCGCTGATTTTTAACAAAAGATTATTTGAATCGCACTATGACATCTTCATTGCTCAAAAGGCCTAGTTACGGAGTATTTCCACGTGATCTATAGTGCAAGGAATTTCAAAGTTAGTATCTTGATAAAACTTCGAAGGTCTAAATGACTTGTTTATTTAGAGGTTTATCATTGAAATCTAAGCTCACAAAATACAAAGTTCAAGGAAATCTGCATCTGGTTCCTATCAAATCTTGATTCCAAAATACACGAGCCAAGTTTTATCAAGACCCATAACGAAGTTCACCAGCTGGTCTTGAACTCGAGATTAATTTATTTGGTTTCCTACATTGACATGTTAAGAGTTTGATCTCATTCATCATATTCAAGCTCACGAGTAAATTCATACAGATACAGTTGTTGCATATCTTGAAAGTAAAAAGATACAGGCTACACGAATTAGAATATCAGAAAGACTCTTTGACTACTAATTGGACAAGTTGGTTCCAAGTTGGGTACTTTCGTACGGTTTATTACAAGCTATTCAAGTCTCGTTTTTTCATTTAAATACATGAACACATTACATGATGCCAACAGTCAGAGTACCGTATTTTAAGGCACCAAAGTTATTTACATATGTTTATACAAGTTTTGGGAAAATATTAAAGACAACCATCACATTCAGGCCCTGTTATACTGCTAAGGACATTAAGGGAACAAGAAATGGGATTATCCTCGCCGGCAACGCGTCTAATGTTCAGTAAATTATCATAAGCATGTGTTCACAACAAGGATCCCCCCTACTGTTACATACAAGGGATTTTCTGCATACAAAACCAAATCGAGAGCTTGCTAGACCATCTTTCTACACCTTAAGCGCAAGTTTACTTTTGTGTAACGTCAAGGAGGGTTGGTCATGGAAAGTTGGTCGCACCAAGTTGTTTCCGGAATAGAGTACAGAACCACCTTTAGCCTCCACTTCTCCAAGTATATGAGCGTGAACCTAAGAAGGCATTAGTACACTTCAGCAAGAAGCAACCACCTGCATCACGCATACATGAGATAAGACGCAAACAGTAGCAATACTGTCAATCCGTAAGGGAAGTCGTGGAAATCCAAAACATATCTAAATCAGCAGGCCATCATCATGCTGACGGTATCAGAAACTATCAAGTACTCCAAAGCTGCCCTGCCAGAAATAAGGACATAAGATATCAAGAGCCATTTCATACTGTTGCGATTTGGTAATTTCGGTTTAAGAATATTGGTGTTCAACAGTTCAAATCACACTTACTTAAAGCATTAGCAAGACAGCATTGAGAAACAACGTCATTTCCTACGTGTTTCCTTCTGTGTTACGGCCCTCGAGTCTGGTGTCTTCTGTCATGCCTTGCCTATGCAGCCTTTATGAGCATCAAATCCCAACTTTCACTCCTGTCACAATAATAATACTATGCAAGGTCATCATGAAAATTTTGCCCCGTCCGCAACCGATCTTGCAAAGAAGAGATGCACGGCATCGACTGCGGTTATAAAAGGAATAATAGGACAGACAGAGATCAAATGACTAACCCATAAAAAATAGAAGATCAAGGAAACTTGTTCGCGTATTGCTATCAAGACATCAGTTTCCTCAATTTGAAGCCATCCGCGAGGAAAACTAGGTGCAGTGAACTCAACCAATTGTTGAAGTCAATGTTGATTTCTCTTAAAGAAATTTTATGATCTGATGCCATGGCAGCCAACAAGTTGCAACAACCACGCTTCTTTTGCTTCCTTCTTGTACTAAACAAAGTCAAAGGAGAATTTCATTAATAATCACAACACAAGTTAACGAGATTAATTTGAAGTTGAAAAATCCAAAAGAGAGATGCAAGTCACCTCTGTCTCGATGCGTGAAGAGCCGTCATGCATCAAGAGCCATCATTTGGCAGTTATCAGAGTAATGAACAGGCTTGGGTTGATACAATTGAATCTGTTGGAACGGAAGACGGTTAGAATCAATACCATGGACTGGATAGGTCAATCATAATATGCAAACCAAGCCATTTTCTGGTCATCGCCTTCGTCTGCAGTATCAGAGGTTGTGTTTTCAAAGAATGCTACGGTAAGGATATTGGTGGCATATTGGGCACGCTTCGATGATTACTTGAAGTATCTACACTACACCAACACTCTATTGCGTCGTACGGGTTTCAACAAGACAGGACCTGCATTTCATAATGGAATTAGTACAGGAAACATATACCCTGATTTTACAGGAGTGAATCATGGAAAGAATGTAGCTAGTAATGTAAGAGCATACATGGAACAACAACAACAACAACTTCTTGCACAGCAGCAACAACAATTCAGGCAATCTACAATGCAAGGAATGAGTCAGATGCAAGGACAACATCAGATGCAATCTTCTCCACAGCTTGGGCATCAGTAATTTCAGAGTAGGCAGCGGCTTTCTTCGGCGCGCATGCATCATGGCTTTGGTCAAAACCAACTCAATCAAGTAAATCCCAAAGGAAATCACATGTGGTGAAAAGAAAATAATCCTGCAAACAAACCAGTATTCAGAAAATCCATGCAGTTAACATAGGCACTGATGGTTCTACTGTTACGGCAATAAGTGAGGATTAATGAAGTTGATGAAGCATATGATACCTCTTAAGTTAGTGATCTTATCAAATCCTAGGACTGCGCCGATGATAAAAATAAACCGAAGCAGGACCACTGCCTGATGGAATGGTTATAGCAGACGATCTAGATGTGCGAAGTTGTAACAGATATGCACAGCAGCTTGGTTGTCACCAACTCGCTTCCAGGATGGCAACACAGTTAACCTGTCAACGCAAACCGAACAACAATTAGAACCCTCCAAATGTTCAACGGCAAGTATCACATTCTACATAACAGTATCAAGAAACAACATACAGAAAGTATCAGGAAATAACGGTGCCGCAAATGATTCAACATACCCACAACCTACACCAGGTGATTTGGAACGTAAGTATCAACTGTCAAAGAATCATTGAATCAATACTCTGAAGGAGAGGCTGCTATCAAAACTGAGCTGAACTCACAAGCGTCAATGCCTGAATAACCATCCTTTCCCTGTATAAGATTAACTGCAATACGTGAACTTAAAGCGGCTTCAATACGACATCATCTAGTTGAGAAGTGGATGTAAACTTGATTACCTGATGAGGGAAGCACCAATAATTTCATGGCCATCGATGTGTTGTCTTATCTAGCTGCAGCGACTTATCGAATAATTTGTAAGAGAAGCTGGAGAATCGGTTATCACGCAGAAGCTATAACGGAATCAACTTAAACCAAGAATCAGAGTAAGTCACACTCAACAGCCACCAAGCTCCATTTCTAGCTAAAGTAGTCCAACATCCTGACCTGCAACAATGAAGACATTGCCGGTTCAGCTTCTCGAACTAAGCCTGCAACAACAATAAATGACATTATCAATTTTGTGATGGAAAAAGAAACTACAGAAGATAAAGCCTTTGGAATGTTGGCTGCACCGAAAGTAACGCAACTCAACAAGCAGCAAAACCTTCAAAATAGAAGTTAAAACTACCATGAGAACTATTGGCAAACAAATTCACTTACCGTAACCAGAATCCAAACTTCTGCCACATTTCAGGAGCTTATTGCAAATCCTAAAGGATGAACATATTAAAACACCACACATATGCCACTCTCAACATGGAAACCGTCTTAGAATGCTACCTCTGCCGTCCTTTAAGCAACATCATCTAAGCTGCAAAAGTTGGAGTATGAGAGTAACGCTTTTGTGACCACTGAGTAAGCCTTTAAGAGAAACGAAGAAATAGCATAGCAATGGCATACCAATTGTCGACCCAATTCGTTCTTTCCCATGACTGTCATCGCCAAAGCGTGTTTTGAAGGGGTTGATTTGAGTAGTTGAAGTCCACCGCCATGTACAAAGAGAAGAAAAACTTGAGACAAAATTCACAAAACAAACAATGTTCAGAACCTGTCACACCTCTAAATGGAGCTACCAACGACTCCGTAATCCCCCTAATTCAACCACGGATTCTCACAAATCAAGGGTAGCAAGGACATCTGTGTTCCCCGCTACTGCCTATAATCCACTTGAAGATTCTTTAAGCCAAAATGTGATTACAACTGTAGAGAAGAGCATGAAGAAATATGCGGACAACCTCATACGAGTTAGCTGAGACTCAAAAAGAACTAGCCAAACTTCAACCTGCTCAGAAAAAAATCCCTCCCAATTCCTCTTCACTCGTTTTCATCAATTTCCCAAATTCGAGTCTCAGCTTGAGAATAACAGCAACAAAGAAGACGTAGAAGAAGATGTTTTACTCTCAGACGTTTTTGGCGCGAAAAGGACGGCTCTCAACTGTTTGGATTGCTGCTCATCTTCAACACAGACTCAAGAAATCTCAATACACGTCCACTGACATCCCTTCCACCGTTCAACATATAATGGATCCTGGGGTTCCCATATCTTTGAGAATGTCAGCTCACCTACTCTTAGGTGTTGTTCGTATTTATTCAAAGAAAGTTGATTATCTTCTGAATGATTGCAATATTGTTCGTACTGTTTTATACAAAGTATTTGCTGTTGTATCAAATCATACTTTACCCGAGGATGGAATGCAAGCACCTCTTCATACTATCACCATGCCAGCCACTTTTGACCTTGATGCGCTTAACTTGAGCTATGGAATGGATGTTAATGGGTATGAGGATCATCACATGAAGAGTCTAGAAGATATTACTCTTGCAGATGAAAATCCTACTGTACTGGAGAATTATGTGACTATACGATTTGATGAGGACACAACATTTAGTTCTCCAAACACACAACTGCTTCCGGATTCCGATGCAAGACCAATAGAGGAAGACATTATTCCTCAATCTCCATTGACAATTGGAGCAGATTTTCAAGATGTTGGTCCAAGTTCCCATACAGAGTCACATGCTACTGATCATACAGTTGAGAATAGCGTACCTAGCTTTATGGATCCCATTACTGAACAGGCAATACCAGTGGAGAATAATCTCCGTTATGCCACCAATGATTATGCCACCAATTATTATGATGCTATTGAAAATCTGCAAAACAGTGGGCATAATGATATCGAACTCACCCTCATAACCATCACTTTGCTAATCTCGATAGTGGTTCCTGAAGATCAGCTGCCTCAACCTGAATCTCTACCCAATTGTGATCCACTGCCATGTTCTGAACAACTTGAAGACATTCGCATCAGAGACGTCAAACCAATGCATCATGATCATCTTGCTCGGTATGATACAGTTCCCAACAACATATCTGGAGTTTGTCTTAGGAGTGCCCGACACTCTCTTCATCTGATCAGCTTGATTGACCATCCTAGCACCAAAGGAAAATAGCATTAGATACACATCAACTTGATTTGAAAACAAGAGTGAAGAACAAAGTAAAACAATAACCTCACTGAGAGGACTCTGAACACTTCCACGTGAGTCTACACCAAAGAACACCAAGAAAAATCGTGGCTCATTACATCAAATGTCAAGTTGGTACTCTGGGCTTCTAGTTCATCTTCTGGCCCAAGTCAAACCGTTATCCGCACCTGCCAAAGCATTAGATACGAGTCAGCAATCTACTAAGGAATATACCGATAAGGAAAAGAGAATATCCAATCCCAAATTCTCAAGCATTGAACCTAGACAGATAAGATTGCAAACGAATTGATACAGAATCAGAGATTGTTTTCTTTCATTTAACAGGAATTTAACAAGATTGGACGAAAAAGGGAAGTTTTTCAAACTCGTTTTACCAAAACAGAAAGTTTAAATCAGATCTTCAAAAAATGCTTCGAAGGAAATTTGCAACATTTATTCCTCAGAGGCTATATAAGAGGATCAGAAAGAAGAGGAAGGGACTACCGCGAATACACAAAAAAAAACCCTAGTACGAAAAAAAACTACCACCGAAATAAAGCACACGAAAAAACCTAGAACTACCGAAAAGCTAAACTCAGAAAATTCAAGAGATTGGGAAGGAAGAACTCATCTTTCTGATTGACGAAGTCCACCTCAGGCCACCGTAGCCCAAATCCGCGAAGCTCCTATCCTCATCGCCTTCGGCGCCGCCGTCACATATCTTCGGTAAAGTTTCATTCTTGTCAAATACTATCGAATCTATTGATTGCTTTGCTGTGCTTCAGGTTTTAAAAAGAACAGAAAACTATGGAAGGATGATGGAGAACGAAGGAGACGATCGGGAAAGGAGAAGACCGAGCGATGTCGGGGAGGATTTTAGGGCTTTAGGGTTTTCTCATGATTTTGTTTTTTTTTTGTCTGTATAACTTGATTGTACACTTACTACCTACACATACGCGTCGTACACCTCCCCATCATATGCTAACCACCCATTAACCCCTCAACTAATCGGTAATTAAACCTTAATCAATTGTTTTTTATATAAAATTAAACTATTTTTTTATAATAATATCTTTTTTTCAATTAATGATTATTCAGCAACCTTTTTTAATAATTTATTTTATTAATAACTAAGATCATTTGTTTTTTATTAAACCTATTTTATGAAAATCTCTAGTATTTTAATAACTTTTTTTTCATTAAGAGAATTTATGGTTGACTTACTTTTTTTAAACAGTGAAAATCCCTCCTATTTAATAAAAATTTATTTTATATTTGAAATAGCAATCTTTTTATATTTTATGATCTAAATAATTTGAATTTTATGATAATATCCTTTTTGCTCAATAAGAAAACTGTACTAAAACCAATAAGTTAATTCGACTCTTTTTTTATAAAAATCAAATTCAACCCCCTCCTTGATAATAATTAATAAACACTTTTTATAACCGATATTAACTTGAATTCAACCTTTAATAATAATAATAAATAATGACCTCACCCAAGTTTTATAATAAATTAGGATTACTGTAGGATTTTAGTTAAAACTTAGAATTTAATTTATATTCAACCTCATTTAAAATAATTCAAACTAAAATCAACCTCTCTCTTAAAATCAATCAACTTAATCAATCAACATCGTAAAACTCAATTCGATCATGCACAACCACTTCACGGCACATTCAATTTCACCTGCACTTAGCGCTTTCATGCGTGTGTATGATTTACATTTCCGGAATTTATTTTACAGTCATTTAATATTACCGCATTTACATTATCGCATCGCATTCCGTCCAAAGGAAAAACCTACACATAATTCAACGTTGTGTGTAGTTGCACATCATTTGCATCTTATCCTCCCACATGATCCTTGATCCCATTCAAGTTGATCACTTAGGATAGATCCTACCCCATAGGAAGGACTCCGTCTTTATCTTTACAACATAGAAACAAAACAATTAAACAACACTATACAACTTTCTCAAACACATTACAGAATAGATGTTAATCATCTTAAGCGAGATATAATCTCCACCCCCCACAACAATACAATCAAACATGTAGGAACTTTGCCTTAAGAGTGATAAAGGCATACTCGTCAAACAATCCGAGTACTTAAGCCCTTTTCTTAAGACGATGCAAAGACTATTTTCCTACAACCACCTTTACACTTGTGATGGTTACATCTCCCTTAACATGAAGACTCATCTCTTCTCCTAAACCCAATCAAAACAACTACCCTAAACCCGTAGGAACTTTGACCACAGTCAAAGAGCTCCTCTAACCCTTTAGGGGAACTACAAGTACTCTGATTCCACTCCCATAAGGATATGTAGGCATAAGATGCGACATCTTATCGAGTATACTTAGAAATAAACCACCAGGGTCTTTTCAACCATTAAGCAGATAACACTTAGCAATAAACAAACATAAAACAAGAGGTTCCTGTAGAGTACTACAGAAACTTAGGATGCTAGTACCTTCCCTAAGTTTAACCAACCCCCGAACCTATAACTCTCTAAACCTTGCATTTGCATTGCATTGTGGGAATTTTGATCTTTATCCCTTCCTTTGGACAAATCAAAGTTCGGTTGCAAAATGAATTAAAGATTCAAACTAATCAATAGTTTGGTATCCGATTTTCACCGCGACAATTTCCTTCAGAACTCCTTTTTGTCAAACCTAGTCTTGGGCCACACAATTGAGCTTTTCCCATAACACCCTTACTAACTCCTCTTAATGCCCAAATTACCCTTGTTTCACTTATATTTATTTTAACTAATAATAATACTAATACTTCCATATTGTATACTATTAATTAAATAAATCATCCAAAAATGCATAATTCCTAATAATTCACAAAACCACCGAAAACCACCAAAATACGAATATTCTCAATTAAATAAATAAATTAAAATATTCCAATTAAATTTGGGGTGTTATAACTCTCCCTCACTTAAAAGAATTTTCGCCCTCGAAAATTACCCCAAGGAAATTGAGTCAGATACGACTCCCTCAACTGATCTCAACGCTCCCAATTCCAACTTTCTCTAGCTGGTCCTCCCCACAATACCTTTACCAAGGCAATCTCTTTACCTCGCAGTTGCTTCTCATTCATCAATCTGAACTAGAAACACTTCAACAATCAGATCATCTCTCACTTGTACACCATCCATTTGAATCAGTGTACTTCCTCAACTTAGGCACACAATACACCTCATGCAATTTCACAAGCGACAGCGGTAAAACAGTCTAGCATGCTACTTCTCCCACGCTTCCGCTGCGCCACTCTAATATGGACCAACAAATCAAGGTGTGAGCTTTCGATACTCCAAAGCTCGGCCAACACCAGTTACCGGCGTAACTCTCAAAAACACATGATCTCCCTCTTTGAATTCAAGTGCTTTCCCCCTCTTATCATGATAACTTTTCTGACGACTCTGCGACGCTTTCATCTTTTCTTGGATCATCTTGATCTTTTCAATCGTCTCTTGCACAATCTCAGGTCCGAGTACAACACTCTCGTCTGACTCATACCAACACAACGGAGTCCTACACCTCATACCATACAAAGCCTAGTACGGTGCCATTCCAATATTAGAATGGCAACTATTGTTGTAGGTAAACTCAATCAAAGACAAATGACTATCCCCTGATCCACCTTGATCCAACACACAAGCTCTCAGCAAAACCTCTAAAGACTGGGTAGTTCTCTTTGTCTGTCCATCCATCTGCGGATGATAGGCAGAACTCGACCTCAACTTAGTACCCAAAGCGCCTGCAACTCTCCTAAAACCTCGATGAAGATCTCAGATCCCTATCAGGCACAATGCTCAATGGTATCTCATCTAACTCCCAACTTCCTCAATATACACCTCATCTAGCTTCAACATAGAATGATTAATCTTATTGTTAACAATGAGCTTATCTAGTCAAGCTATCCACAATTACCCAAATCGAATCATATTCTTCAAAGCCTTCGATAAACCCAACACAAAATCCATAGAAATACTATTCCATTTCCACTATGGAATATTCAAAGGTTGCATCAGACCCGATGGTCTCTGATGTTCAACCTTCGACTTTCGACAAGTCTAACCATCACATACAACTCAACCACTTCTTTCTTCATACTTGGCCACCAAAACAATTCCATCCATTTTGGTACCTCTTCATAACACCGGTATGGATACTCAATCCACTTAAATGTCCCTCCTCAAGAATACTCTTATCCAACTCACATTATCTGCAACACAAACTCTATCACGATATCCCATGATACCATTTCCAATAATCTGAAATTCATCTCTTCAACTTTGATTCATCCCATCCAACTGATCTACCAACTCAGATCAGGTTTCTCACCTTCTCGAATCTCATCAAGAATTCCACTAGTAAGCTTCAACATACCAAGCTTAACTCCATAAGAAGTCTCTTCACAAACCACACTCATATCCTAAAATTGCTCAATCAGTTCTAACTCTTTCACCATTATCATCGGTATATGCAAAGGTTTCCAAATCAATGCATCAGCTACCACATTTGCTTTACCCGAATGGTAATTCAAACCAAAACCATAATCCTTCAAAAGTCCCTCATATCTTTTATCCCATATTCAACCCTTTCTAATAAACCAAATACTTTAAGCTCTTAATATCATTAAACATCTTAAATCTCGAACCAAACAAATAATGCTTCCAAAGCTTCGACACAACCACCATAACAACAACAATAAACTCTAAATCATGCGTCAGATAATTCCCATTATGCACTTTAAGTTGCCTGAAAGCATAAGCTAAGACTCGCTGATGTTGCACTAATACATCTCTCAATCCCATCAACAAAGCGTCATAAAATACAACAAATAGTTCTGCCAGATTCGGCAAAATCAAAACACGAGCTGTTGTCAGCCATCCTCAAAAGCTCTAGAAATTTCTTCACACTTTGCATCCAAAATAAAATATTGAACCTTCCTAGTCTACTGC